AACGTAAATCTGTTGATACTTAGCTTGATGGAACTGAGAACAACGTAAAAATTAGAAAGGGAATTAGAAATTCTGGAATTTATTCCAAGTCTGACCTGGTCTATGACACTGTATTATGCTATTGCTGCTTTGAAATTCTAAGCCAGCTAGTTTTTGTCTTATCCTTTCTTTTTCCACTCATAAAAATGTTCCAGATGTGTTACACTGATTGAATTCCTATGTTTAATCTTGTGAAAAACCTGAAAATAAAGATGTCAAGAAAGAAAGATGGGGATTTAGTTCTGCAACTTAAACAAATTATGGTTACCTGTGCTCACACGAAGAATGGTTTTGCATGAATTGCGTGCCTGTAGCAGTTACTTTTATAACAACCCCAAGATCCACTGGACCACGGCACAGATCCAGAACACACAGCAGAACACTAACAACTACAGTAATTGTTACAACAACTATGAATTGATAATAGTTGTAGAAAGAAAGATTTCTACAAAATGCCATCAGTGTGTCTTGCATCTCTAGATGAACGGGTAACGCAGTCTCACCACTGAGACTATGACAAGATCAGCCACATCTTCTTGGATAAAAAGAGAACAGCTTCCAGCAAATGTTCCAACAGTGCTTCCAACAACTTATTTCATATAGGTCACTGAAAACCCATCAAATGGTAACAATTTGTGGTCACTACTGACCTGGCCTGGATGCGAACTGGTGACCTAGAGATGAAAGGCTCTGTATCCTATTACCAACCCCTTGAGCTATCCAGTCCCCCTGGAAGGTTTTTTAAGAAAAGAAGAAAAGAAAATTAAAACTTTCAGAAGTCGTTTCCTGTTTGCATCTTGGTTTTGTTTGACGTTTTTCTCCCCACCAGTCTTGAGCCTTTCCCCTGTCATATTTATAATGTAAAGCTGCATTTTTACACTCTGGTCAGATGCTGGGCTGACTGTAAAGTCCACCTTAGGAAGAAGTCTTTAATTCCTTCAATATATTTGGACGTAATTGCTTTAACAGCGTTTTTCTGGTTTACTTTTTTTTTTTTTTTTGTATTTGCTTTGGGAATTGGCTGAGGATGTCAGGACAACCATGACATTAACTTACATACTATATATCCAAGGTAGCACCCATACATACACAGACAACACCTACACACATAAGGTACAGCAAAGGGACAGAAGAAAGGGAGAACCAATTGAAAAGTGAACTGAATGCAGAAAAGAGATCAATTAGCATTTCTTAATGAGTTAATTTAGGAAGTGAAAATTGTCATTCTCATCTTGTTGGGAAGAGTCTGTAGAAAATTAAAGGAAAATGTTGGCAACTACAGCTCTTATTTTTGCTAGTTCTTTAAGTCTAGATCAGATATATGTGATTCAGAATGTATTTTTTATTTCAAAAGGGTCTGTTCTCTTTGACCTATTTTCTGTTATTTCTTCTTACAGAATATAATGCCACTAAACTGGAAAAGGATGTTTGCATAGTTGTTTGGTTTTGTAGATTACCTATGTATTTCCTCAAGGCTGGGATGTTGTTGGTCAGGCTGACTCCAGTAAGCAATCTGCAAAAGCCCAAGTTGATTCTGCTTGTTCACCTTCCTATAGCTTCAGGTAGGTGGAACAGCAATAAGAGCAAGTGAGAAACAACACCTGATACCTACAAAGGGTCTCTAGAATATTTTTCATTTCAGTTGATATTCACCCAGGAATAAAAAATTGTCATGGGAAACCATGTCTCCTTTAGAACAAAGCAGTATTTCATATATAAACACAATTTTCATGCTTACATTTTCATAATATTTATCTTCGAACATCAGATTTATACATAAGATAAAATAATTGCTGCAATACTAATTGTCCCATCTTCTGGCTGATATGACTTTATGTCAAGACAAAGTAGTAGGCCAGTTCTTTTTTGTTGCTGTTTCTATCTTTTTTTTGGGCAAGTCTCCAAAGAAAACAATAAAAAGTAGAAAAAAATCAGTTTTTCTATCAGACCTGTTCGTATGTATAGAATGAGGATTGTGCAAAACACCAGCTTATCCCTGTTGTATGAATAGAATATTAGGAAGCTTTACTAGATTCAGTCTTGCTGTGGGAGACACAGATGAACACATAGTGAGATATAAACTTAGTTTAGTTCCCACAGCAAAATATTTTCCATAGATCCTGGCACCTCAGCAGCCACAGACTTTCTAGGAACTTCTACCTTGGAGCTGACTAATGGATATATCAGGGCCTCCTGAAATCTGTAACCAAACCATGAAAAATCTACTTATCCACTATCCCCATAACTTTTGCAGACTCTGTGAAGTGTGTTCCTGGTATAAATGAGGAGGAAGTTACCATCTTTGGGATGGAAGGGGAGATTATAGGATTGTGTCCGGAAAATTCTTCCCATTTAAAATGAAAAGTTGCCTCCACTTTGGAAGGTGTCACCTTCATAAGTTTATGCTTAAACAAGAAAAGTTCCCAAAGAGCTGCCAGAAAGACCATTTGCACTGAAAGATGAAGAAGTGAGCAAGTAGACATTGGTTTAGATTCATGGTACATCACATAGGTAAGATTGCTGGAATGAGCAGGAGGTGAGCCGTGAGTGAACAGGAATGGAGGCGCAGGTGATATACATGATCTGAGTTCAGCATGTTCTCATAGCTAACTTGGAAGACAACATACAAGGGAGGCTAGAAGATGCTGAAACCACACTGATTTGACTGAGTGGGTATCTAGAAACTATCTAGATTGTGTATTCTCTTTTGGTGTGGAAGAGCTGAGGCAAGGGTGCAAAAGACATAAAGAATACAGTAACTTTCCCAGTCAGGGGATCAAAAGAGCATCTGAGGCAAACCATGAAGAAAACCCATCCCTGAATCAAAACGATTACCACTATGGGTAATGATGCTGTAATAATGGCTTCCTGTTCTCTCTGGTACTATAAAAGTGATGATGGAAGCTGCCTTTCTCTGAAGTTAGAAGAGCTTCCTCTACAAATCATAACACAGCAGAGAGTAAGTGGGATTGGAGGAAATAGTTATGAGGCTTAATTTAGGAGTAGCTACGTCCATTGAATGTTTCTGTCACAGAAGCAAGGGAGGTACTGGACCTGTGGGCCAGCAGACTGAATACAAACACTGCCCAATGCACAGGATTAAGACTGATCCTCAGGAGAGGCTCTGGGACCTCTGCCACAGTTGCTTAGTGTGAGTTTTGGAGGTAGCCATGAAGGAAGATAACTGAAGATGCAATTCAAGAAAAATATTCCCACATAAGATACCCTGTCTCATCTGAGTGTATACATGGGGTTTGATGGAAGAGGGATGCCATGTATGGCTATACAAGGATTAAAAGTTCATTATGTTGAAACAACAAAGTATATGTGCATTGCCACAGCAGTAATGTAGATGGGAACTTTTATTCATAAATAATAAAGAAAATTTATCCTGTTTCGTCAATGCGTATAACAGGTAATAAAATATATGTGACAAAGCAGTCTAGCAGATGATGACAGAATGGGAAAAGAGGAAAGACAGCAAAGGAACTGAGAGAGAGATTGTAATAATTCTTTTGCCTCTAAACCACATATTTTCTCATTGAGTAGCTTGGAATGCATATGCTCTATCAGCTATGAACTGGCTGTAGAGACAACAGAGGATGAGAATTAAATATATCTGTGAGAGAAAGGGCAACCGACTTGACATGATAATTCCTCCCTAGATTAATGATTCTAGAGAGGAACTAGGAGAATTTTTAGATTCTAGGAATCTAAAAATGTAGATTAATCCAAGTAATTCAAACCTTCTCATTTTCAATTACTTACTCCTCTTTATTTTATCCTGATGAATTTCTTGCAAGAAACTAACTTCCAT